AAGTCCTAACCCCAATTTTGACAGAAGCGGGAAGATCGAGGGAAGCCATAGCTTCTAGCTTCCGCATTTGTTACGGATTATTTTTTGTCAAATATATCCCGTAAGATTGTGGAAATTAATTCGAAAAGTTTCGCCCCATTAAATAATTAAGAATTATTTTACTTTTGATTTTGTTCCTTAAAATAGATAAAAAAAATAAAATAAATATTAAAAATTGCGTAGGGGCGTTTGTTTGACTTCAATGCTCTTCATATCTACTATACCTATTTGAGGGCCTTTTTTTCGAACCCCATCTCACTGAGGGGGGAAGGAAAACTGCTGTCGAAATTTCTCAAATTTTTCTTTTAATTTAAATTTTTGCTCATTAATTAACAAAATTATTTAAAAATCGAGTTAAATCAATTTTTTTTTTTTTTTTCCCATTATTCCTTTTGATATTCCCTCTTCGGCAGCGCTGCTTAAGGGCTTCGTCCAAACCCCATCCCAACGGGGGGAGGCGAAACGCTGCCGAAATTTTAGTAAAATCCCCAAATTTTATTTCTACCCCTAAAAATCATCAAACTCGGCGGGCTTATAAATGTATTGATCCTTAATATATATAAACTAGGAAAGAAATTTTAACTTAACTAAATACATTTTCTTTAATTTATAATTGAAAAATACAAAAAAATTCCCAAGAAGAAGAAGGGAGACGCTGCGGTAACCTGGTTTTCGGGTGAACCTACTAGCTTGTTCCGCAAGGCGTGAGGCAAGCGACGCGTTGAATGTGGCCGCGGGTGCAAGTAGAGGTCTATGGGGCTACCATTGACTGGGACTTGGAGCCCCCTTAACTCATAGAGGGGGACCTGGTCGAGCTCACGGTCCGCGGGCGCAACATTCAACACGTTGACGGCCAGTTTGCGTGGAGGTCCATAATCTTGTCCGAGGATGTGTGGCTTTGGACGTACAGAGAGCACCGGTCGGGGCAAGGAGTGGGCGTAGTGAGAGCCTACTTGTATTTGGGACCAGGCGCGGTCAGGGAGGCCGTGGTGGGCCTCGCGAGGACAGGGACGAGTGACACAGTTAGCAGGGCGTTACGCTACCTAGGGGAAGGAGTAGCTACTTTCCGAGCGGAGGACTCGAGCGACCTGTTGACCCTATTTCACGGACGCCCTCCTCTTGATATCACGGGCGAGCTGGTGGTAGCACGGGACGGATTTTTCCCGTACAGCGTTAGGAGTCTGCGAGCGATAGTTCGGACGTTCGTAATAGAGAGCGTCTTTGGTGGTATTGGTGGAGTGGTCGAGACATACGTGGCCTATCAGGATCTCAAGATCCTGCCGAGAAGGCCTGCCGACCTAGACTACATCTATTATTCGCTCGCAACCGGTGGGCCTCGTTGGGGAGACGAGAGGGTTCAGCTTATAGAGTTGATCCGCTCGATAGACGACGAGTGGCCCCAGTCTCCATGCGTTTGGGATTGGCTAGACCGTGAGCTCCGAGCAGACCCGAGTACGTGACCTGCATCGGGCGGCTCTTCTCAGACGACCAGGAGAGCTGGTGGGATGAGGACGCCGGGCGACCTCTGAATACGGCCATCAGTTGGCGCAATACTACCAGGGTATAGGACAGGCGCCATACCGCATCGAGGACGAGTTTGACGACGAGGGTTGGGAGCGAGAGGACGACGAGGACGCCTGGGAGCCAGACTGGGTCGACCCAGAGAGTGAGGTTGACGAGGAGGAGATTGACGTTACAGACGCCCATTTTCCCAGGATAGGAGTAGCAGTCCAGACGTAGGAGGTAGAGGAGCACATTAGAGCGACGGTTGAGTGAGCTTAACTACTGATCCTACTCGACCATACTGGACCTGAGTGCGAGAGTTGTCTGGAGGGTTAGCAACGTCGAGAGATGGGGTGCATCGGAGGGAGTAGAGTGATGCTGACCGAGAGTAGGAGAAGAGAAAATGAGTGATTCAGTGGCCTGGTTAGCTTATGTTCTCTCACGAGAGTCCGAATCGTATAGTGGGAGGAAGCTTGTGGGACCCAGAGAGACGGCGGTTGGATACGACAAACCACTTCCTGTGGCGTTAGAAGAGGCAGGGCGTGTACCGATACGATATTTGGGAACGTGGCTCGCAGAGGGGCTCTTCCTTTGGACAGTGATACTACGAGACGAACGACCCGAGATGACTCATGATCTAGAAGGGGTCGGACATCTGATAGCGGATAGAGCACACGATTTAGAGATAGGATTAACGCTCGCAGGGGCGAGCAGGAGTTGGTGGAGAAGCGAGTTGTTGGCTAGAGTGATCGTTAATCAGCAATTGGCGAGAGTCTCTGGAGGGAGGACGAGTTGGAGCTGATTGGTATACGGTCCACCACATCCGACCCTCTACCCGAGAAAGGATTGGCGATTCGGACTTCCTACCTTCGTGATAGAGCAGACCTATGGGAGCGTGGATCGTTTGAGTAGAGCAGTGGACCACACACTTTACGCGCTCTGGGAGGGCTTAGCGCCCCGCTTCAAGGAAGTATACTACGCCATTTGTGTGAGGTGGGGGCCACCCAGTAGAGAGACGCTTGACGACATCATAGACGTTACTAGCTGGGTGGACTGTCTCAGGCCAATCGGTCTGATTAGGTACTGCAGGAGACGGGCAGAGATCGATTACGCGGGGCTAGAGGATGTGAGATTTCTCTTCGAGGCCGCAACTTAGGGAATGCCGGGAAGGACGGCCACGGTGATGCGTATAGAAGAGCAACTGGTAAGCGCAGGATACACTGTAATAGTACTTCTCCGAGCGTACGTAGACGAGGACTTGACAGCGAGTGAGTGCAGACAACGAGCTAGGGATTTAATCCACGAGCGTAGAGCTGATGTACTGGCGCGAGTGACCTTCCAAACCTCGATTTCCTATAATGTGATGATATGGTCTCATGGTTATATGCGCGCGGAGCACTACCACGATGAGACGGTAGCGGAGGCTAGAGTGAGGGTGAGAGGGTGAGCTGGAAAAAAATGTGGACTGAGTATGGAAGAGGAGATTGAGGCAGTCGGAAGAGTGAGAAAGCACGTTAAAGAACCACTCTTGAACCAGGTAAAGAAGTTGGGAGACAAGTTAAGAGAGATCTAGTCGTGTCAGGACGAGGGCAAGTTGCGTAGGGCTGAACTCGTGACGAGAGAGTTAGAGAATCTGTTTAGGGAGGAAAGAGAGATTATCCAGCCGTGGAGATCAGACTTTCTGGAGAGGGTAAAGACTAGAAGCATATCACGCGAAGGAACTAGTGAGCGATCTGCAGAGAGCGAGACAACGCAAGACAAAGTAACGCAATGAAGTAGCGACAGGACACGAGCGGGACTGCACTACACACGACGGATCGGTACTCATTATATGTGGTAGGGAGACTGGACGGACCATTAGTGTTAGTGACCATAGAACTCCAGCTCTATACCAGACTGTGCATAGTTGAGGAGGCAGAGTGTGTCCGCCGCGCGCTGCGTGAGGCTAGGGGAACAGGACTTTGGATTGGAATAGAAGGAGGACGGAGGATAAAATACGTACTCCAAGTGACACCTTTCGAAGTGCGGTCTCGGATAAGGGCATGGAACGAGACGACCAGAGAGGCTGAAAGGTTGAAGATAAGCGAAGCCAGGAAAGTTAAAGAGTTAGGGAGAGTTGTAACGGATGGTGCAATACTCAGGGTGTTAGCCGCTCACGACCCGTACTGGAAGGAATCGATAAATACTTTAGAGGCGATAGACGATGGTGGAGATAAGGAGGACTTTGAGACATTTTATGACATATTGGAGCGGTCGGCGATGAGGTTACAAGTGGTTACATCACTAACTTACCTTAGCTGTTAGACAGATGACCTCGTAGCCGTCTGGGAGATAAGGTAGTGGAAATAGAAATTGGAAGCTCTTGGAAGGATAGTGGAAGGTAGAAAGGTCGATGGGCGACTTTGGATGGCAGTAGGAGGGCCTTTAGCGGCCTAACCGATTTAGGACAGGGCTAGGATAACTAGCAAGGAGGACGAAGAGAGATGCTCGGAGACTCTTGAGGGGTGTTGATCAGGAGACATTGGCTAGGTTTGGGACTGCGATCTGTCTCAAGGATAGAGGTCCTGTCACGGGTGTACTGCAGATCCGAAGAGGCACAACCTTATTGGCCGATCCCGAAGGAGAGGTTTACTTAGACACAGGGATTCTTGGGATAGAGGGAGGACACAAGATCTGCGACCGGAACGGGATACTGAAAGTGGTAATCAAGGCAGTCGAGAGCTAAAATTGGAGGCGGACGTGAGCCGTGACAAGGAAACAGGTCCGGGCTGCCGCATCTGTCACAGGTCCGGGCTGCAACGACTGTCATAGGGTCGGGCTGTAACAGTTGGCAAGAATACCTAACTGCGTCTTCTGGTGGTCCAATGGAACCCGACACGATGGGGCCACAACTGACCACGAGCGAAGCGGGAGAAGAGTACAGGGCATCGCCCGATCGAGCACTGAGGGATCTGAAGGAACGAATTAGGCAAAAAACACCGCTGAGATGGGCTGACCAAACCAATGACGGAGGGCCCGACGTAAGAGGCGAACCAGTTGCGACAGAGCCGCAGGAGGCTCTAAAGATGGGTACCTCTAGCGCACGACAAGAAGCGACGAGGCGACGCTCCCCCGAGTACGAGCGGAAGGACACCGTAGCAAACAGGCACAGAGACGACTGGAGAGAGAGTTTGAGATATTCCTATTGGAGGGACAGAGATAGAGACAGGGCGCCGCCCAGGCGAGTCTTCGACCCCCAGACAGGGGAGTCACATCCTCTCCCTTACGAGAGCAAGGATCGCTATATTATTACGTACAAGGCCTCAGAGCCTCCTACCTTCAGGGGCTATGGTATCACAGAATATCTAGAGAAGTGGGAGCTTCACGCCAGCCGGAGTCAGTGATCGGAGGAAGAAATTATAGAGAACTTCCTATTTAATGTGGACCCAAGTCTCGGTAGGGAAGTTAAGGAAGCTCGACCGAAGGATCGGAAATGGACTACGTACAAGAAGAACCTCGTTGAGCTTTACAAATTGGAGGATAACAAGTATTCCATCAAGGACCTTGAAACAATGACTCAAGATGAAGATGAGAGCGTACGGCCATTTGGGATGCATTTCCAGAACATCTCCGACGTGCTGATGAAGAAGGGGAAGATCTCAAAGGTCGAGCGCTGTACTATCTTCATCGGGCACTTGTCCAAAGGCAGGCAGAAGAGTATACAAAGAGATCTTCCGCGCCGCAGGCTTGATTTCCCAGAAGTCCTAAAGCTCGCGATAAAGGCAGAGGCAGACGATTACAAGGACTTGGTGTGGAGAGGGATGAGGAGACGTGACTTCTCTCTCTACAAGGAGTATGCCACTGATAGATGTCCTGATTTCAAAGACTATCCCTGGTCGGAGAAGAATGAGGCCGTGGCTGAGGAAGTAAAGGAGATACGGGACATGGTGAAGGGATTGACGAGACAGGTTACAGAGATTGTGACCACTACAGGGGCCACGGCCTACCGGGATAAACCTGGAGGTCCCTATTCACTTCGCTGGGACCGTAGGAACAACGATTCCTGGAGGAGTGTCGAGGATAGAAATCCTCGGACGCTGACTGATTATCGTACGTGGGGAAGAGAGAGAGACGATCAACTATGGCGACGTAGGGACGATCAGATAGACCGAGACCGCATAGATCGCGAGCCGTTTGCGCGAGCAAGGAGGCTGGATGATTACCCGCGAAGCCCTCGCTATGAGGCCGATCGGATAGAGGCGACTCCCGCGGCCGATGAGAGATAGATCACGGCCGACGAGATGGATATAGGGACGACAGATACGAAAGATCGGACCGAGAAAGATATAGGGACGACGGATACGAGAGATCGGACCGAGACGGATACAGGGATGACAGATACGAGAGGTCGGGTCGAGATGGCTACAGAGGTGGTAAGTATGAAAGAGGAGATCGGGACTTGGAACGACGAGATAGGTCGCGCGAACGGTTTGAGAGCGGGGGAGATGCGAGAGAGCAGCGCGATGAGTCGCGGGGGTGGTACAACCGAGGGAACGACGCGATGAGTCACGAGGGCGATATGACTCAGGGGACCGCCGGAATGATTCGCGAAGGCAGTACGAGCAAGGAGGATCTGGAGGAGACCGCCGCAACGATTCGCGCGGTCGGAGTTTGATCTTGAGAAGCGCAAACGACAGGCCATCTACTCCCAGGTACTCATGCGTTTACTGTAGAGGAGAAGATCAGGGATTGCCCGGACTTAAACGGGCAATAGATGAGGGACTTGTCGTGCTTGACGACCGCAAGTACGTGAAGTGGGCTGATGGTCTGGGAGATGTATCGATGTTCCCTTCGATGAAGGAGAATGTCGAAGCGAGGAGAGTAAAGCCGAGCAAAGAAATGGAGTCGGTCATGAGCCAGAGCATCAAGATAACCTTTGAGGGGGATATGGCGACCACACCCATAAGGGTGGCAGCCACCAAGTCGGCGAGAGGGTCTACATCGAAGAAGACTGACATGGATTACGTGATGACGGAGAAGGACGGGCAGCGGATCGATGGAGAGGAGGTTATCCTTTCGCCGCGAAGGAGGGGAGTGAAGAAGTTCTTAATGAAGAGTTTGCTGGACGAGATTGACACGGTCGAGCCACTGAGGCGAAACCCTTCGGCAACCCATGCAGTGCTCTATTCAGGAGTACCTGGCGGCATTGAAGCCGGCTCGTGATGAGTTACAGATGATCTCGCGGAAGACTCGCATACCTCTATCGGAGGAGGGTCAGGGGGCCCCTAAGGCGGAAGCTACTACAGTAGCAGTAACGGGGGTGACTGCCAGAGCAGATCGGATGGCGACAGTCCTTCTCGATGAAATGGAAGGTGTGCCTCCAGACAAGTTTTATATACTTGGTAGCGGGGCCGTGGAGACGATTATAAACGATGGAGCGATAGTCGATGCTGTGATCGATAACCGCTGTGAGGTTGTCATTATAGACGAGGACCTGGCAATACAGGTTGGACTAGGCCTCGATAGGTCATACCTATTCGAGATAGAGACAACTGATGTGAGAAAGCAACAGATCACTGGGGTTTGTCACAAGGCAGCCATAGAGGTCCAAGGGGTACAAGTGACCCTGCGTGTCTTTGCAGTCAAGAACTGCAACTCCGACCTGCTCTTGGGACGAACGTGGCTGAGCCACGTGCATGCGGTGACGATAGAGCGACCTGATGGGAGCCAAACATTGTCCATTAGGAAGCCAGACGGGACGCGGATAATGATTGAGACAGTGGAGCCTCGGGACCCGAGGAACAGAACAACTCTCGCTGTGGGTGCAAGACCCAGTGATCAGATTAAGTCGTTACCTATCTCCGGCCGCGCGGTGCGATTTCGCGAGAAGAAATATGGACCACTGCTCACAGAGGAAGAAGGTCGGATCGTGGAGGTGAAAGATTTAGGGAGTCGGGTAATAGTGGACGGCGACTCGTACCCAAAGGAAAAAGATGAGGAATTTGGCGGTGTGGTGTCCGTGACTATTTTAAGGGCACGACCTCCTATGGGGGGCTACCCAAGCGACACAAGCGAGTAGCTCAAAAAGTTAAGCCTGCGGCGGTGGGCCGCGAGCGATCTGCACTGGAAGGGATATCGGAAGAAGAGATCGTGAAGGAAATCAATGAAAGAAAGAAAAAGGAGCCACAACGCCTAACGGAAGAGAGGATAGCAGGGATGAGCATCGGAGATGGAAATCTGACCCCACAGGAGCGAGAACGCGTGATAGAAATTATGAAGACATGTGATAAGGCAATAACTTTCAGCAACGCGGAGCGTGGTAGGATTGACCCTCAATACGCTAAGCCAGCGAGAATTTATACGATTCCACATGTTCCTTGGAATGACGCAGGATGGAAATACGCCCAGAAGGAGAAGGAAGAAGTTATCGTTTTCCTGAAAGAAAAGCTGGTTTCCCACGTTGCGAAGTCGTCTGATAGCGCTTATGCTAATCGATGGTTCTTCCTACGAAAGCCGAATGGCAAGATCCGATGGATCCAGGACCTTCAGAAGGTCAATGCGGTGACAATACGAGACGTGGGCGCCGTGCCTCACGCCGATTTACTGGCAGAAGGCGCCGCAGGTAGGTCGATTTATTCGGTCTGTGATCAGTTCTCCGATTATGATGAGTTATCGCTTGACCCTAAGGACAGGCACCTCACTGCTATGCATACGCCATTGGGATTAATACAAATGATGGTTGTCCCTATGGGTTGGACTAATGGGGTAGCCGTTTTTTAGAGAGTAATGCTAGCCGTCCTCAAGGACTTCATCCCTGATAAGGTAGAAGTTTTTCTGGATGACTTTCCTATAAAAGGGCCAGTAGACAGGGATGAAACAGAGGTTCTACCTGGAGTTAGAAGATTCGTCGAGCAGCACCTAACAGATATTTGCGCGGTACTCGAGCAGCTGGACGATGCGAATTTAACAGTCAGCGGAACAAAGAGCCGATGGGCCATCTCGGCTATTAAAATCTTGGGCTTTATCTGTGACTCGAGAGGACGGCGAGCAAATCCGACGAAGTTAGACAAACTTCTGAACTGGCCGTCACCGTTACATAGCCCAACCGAGTTCCGACAATTTCTAGAAGTGGTCGGTTACTGACGTATATTCATACGGGGGTATGTGGAGAAGGCTGAGCCATTGAGGTTACTCCTTCGAAAGACTGAAAAATTCTACTGGGATTCTTCGCAGGAACTCGCTATGCAAGAACTTAAAGACGAATTTAAGGAGGGAGGACGCGTGTTCGGCTTGCCATTCTTTGACGATGAGACCGAGAGGCCCTTCATAGTATCCACGGATGCTGGACCATGTTCAGTAGGTGGTTTCCTGTCTTAGAAGGACGCTGGAGGGAAGGAAAGACCGTTAAGATTTGAGAGTATGACACTTAATACGACTGAGCGTAACTACAGTCAATTCAAGAAGGAAGTGTTAGCTGTTCTCCGCTGTCTAGACACGTTCAGACACTATATCTGTGGGCGACGGTTCATCTTGAGAGTAGACCCCACAGCGATTGCCTCTGTCCTCCAGAAGGACTTTAGTCTGCGGACCCGACCATCGCCCGATGGTTAATACGGATTTGGCTATACGATTACACGGTTGAGAGGATATCTAGCACTAAAAATGCCGTGGCAGATGGACTTTCGCGCATCCCTTTTGAGGCCGAGCGCCCGATAGTAGTTGCGGCCCTGATAAATACCAAATGATCGGCCTACATTTGTCAGGAAAGGAGAGTCAAGAATCAGATAACCGGAGATAAGTGGCCCGGTACTGCCTTAGAGCTAACCATCTGTTACGAAGGCCGAGCGGCTCGGGGCTGCCCTTACGAGTAGTTTATGACCCTGAGGAGAGACAGACAATAGTTGCGGAGCTGCACGATGGGGTAGTCGGAGGACACAGGGGAGTCAAAGGAACCTACAAAAAGGTACGAAGGTTGTACTGGTGTGAAGGACTTGCGAAGAGTGCCAGAAGAGAGCTCTTGTGAAATACAAAGAGTCACTTCATCCATCCTATCCGACCAGACCAGGAGAGAAGGTACACATCGATCTAGTGAAAATGCTGAAAGGGGTAGGCAATATGAACTACGTCGTGAACATACGAGATGATTTCACTGGGTTCGTGGACGGTACACCTATCAGGAGTAAGGTGGTAAAGGAAGTAAAGAACTTTGTCCTAGAGTACTTATCTAAGTATGGTTGTGTCAGCAAGATAGTAATGGACAGAGGGGCGGAATTCCTAGCCGACGAGGTTCAGAGCGTGTTCAGGAGAGHCRGGGCGAGRGTTTCRATAGCCACCGCCTATCACCCACAGTCGAACTCCCCAGTAGAGAGGGGACACCAGACTCTGATAGCGTCACTGTCCAAGTGGTGCAAGGGTAAGGACAGTGATTGGCCACGATATTTTCGATACGCAATACGGGCGGACAACGTCACGGTCCGGGCTAGTTCCGGATACCCACCGTACACCTTGTGGTTTGGGCGACATTGTCCGCTTCCCATAGAGTTTCACGTCGACAGCTGGACAACCATCGACTGGGCGGAGGAGATGTCCAGAGAGGAACTCTTAGCCGCCCGAACAAGACAGATAGCCTACGGTTTGGAAGATAGTCTTATGACAGCGGCAGATCGTCTGGCAGTGGAAAGGGGCAAGGGTAAGGAGAGATGGGATAAGAACGTGCGAATCAAGAGAGGGTGAGTGTAGGAGATATGGTCCTTTTCTACGACGCGGCACTGGAGAGGACCTGGACCGGAAAACTCGCAAATAGATGGATGGGACCTTACAGAGTGGTTGAGGCACTTGACTGGGGTGCATATATGATAGCAGAATTGGATGGATCTAAGTGGAAGAACCCAGTGGCGAGCGATAGGTTAAAGCTGTTTATGCCCAGATCCGCGCCCGCCTTATCGTTGACCAGCCCGAAAGGGAAAGGAAAAACCATAATGGAGGAAGGAGCCCCCTTGAGGCAATTCGAGGCAGGGGAGAGTTCCAAGAAAAGGAAAAGAATAGAGAAGAGAAAGGTCAAAGGGTTAGCTTTAGGAAGAGAGAAGAGATGGTTATTCGTGCTCAAGCGAGCTAGACGGAGAGTTCGCGTTAGACGTACTGGCGGGTCGACACCCTTCTCGAGTTAAAGACAGAAGAAAAAGAGGATCATGCCGGGGCCGAAAACCAGAAGAAACAGGAGAGTCAAGAAGCATCTTCTTAACCCCAGGACTCATAACAAACTGAAACATAAGACAATTGAACGCCGACGTGGGCGTCCTTTACGGGCCATCACCCTGAAGCTCATCCGCTTAGTCTGACATAAGTTGTTAGGGCTCGACGGGGGCGTCGAGAAGTGGTCCGGGCTAACTGTCAGGCAGCCATAAGCAGTGCGCCGCCTGAAATCTACGGTTTTGCAATTTAGGCGCAAAGACGAGTCTGAGTTTTGACGGTACTCTGGTTAGACCAGGCAGCGGAAATTAGGGGAGCTCAGGGCGCCCTTGATTTTGGGCGCGCTGAACCTTACGGGCAACCCTCAAAGATGGCGAGATGGGTGGTCGCCCTCACATCACCGGACCGTCATTTCCGGTTGTCCAGACGGCTAGACCCAAATTGGCTTGCTGCGGAGAGGCATCACGGGAACTGACCTCGCAGCGACATTTTTTGCGGCATACGACCGGGGCCGAAATGAGGCCTCAATTTTTTGTCTATTTTAGTACCATAATTAAAGATGGGGAAAAGGGATTACGACCAGTAGGGGAGAAGGGGAAAACATAATATCCCTTAATTTTTTAATTTTTTACGGCATTAAATTCAAGGGGGAATACCCTTGTTATTTTATGTTCCCGACATTGGAATTAAAAACATAAAAAAATATTAAAAATGGTAAAAGAAAAAAAAAACAAAAGGAATTCGGCCATATATTTAAATTTTCTCGGAATTAAATTTTGGGGAACTTACAGTTAATTTACGATTTCCGACAATAGAATTAAGGAAAGGGAAGAATGATGAAAGACGATGAAAGGGACGGGGACCCATGACCATTGGGAAATTGGCCTAATTTCCCCTCGATTACCCGCCATCAGCTCAGACTCCGGATTGATCATTTTCCCCGGTTCTTAACAAGTTAACACTACTGCCGATGGTCGAGGTTCCCTGCGACGCTTTCCCTGGTGTGCTTGAATACTAACATTACCGCAGTTGAGATGTTCAAAGAGCAGGAGTCGCATGGACAGCATGGGGTGGTGCTGCCTTGGGTCGACTACGGTGTTTTGTTTGGTACGGATACGAGGGTCGTTACGGAGTGGCTACGTCCTACGGTGTCTGACGTGCTTCAGGTACGGTCTGGGCCCGGTGACAGCTGTCTCACTACGGTGACTTATTTTCAGGTTTGAGACAACTGCAGTGATTTATTCTCAGGACCAGGGCCACTACGACAGTTATTCCAGGCGGCAGTTTGTTTTTAGGACCGGGAACGTTGCGGCATTCTATATCAGGTTCGGGACAGGTTATCATGGCATGATTGTACGGGTTCGGCATTCGCATGGCACAACAGCCCAGTAATGGACTTCGGGTTTGATCAGGTTCGGTGGCATCGCGATATTTCGTTTCAAGTTCGACGCCCTCACGACAGTTTATTTCGGAACCTTTGCAGTGATTTATTTTCAGGTCTGGGATCATTGCGACGGTTTACTTCAGGTTTGGTATTATTACCGCGCCGCTGCATCTTGTCGTGTTTGACATGTTTCAGGTACGGTACGACGAGCCTGTGAATCCGGTACCACTGTTTTCTTTTTCCTCAGTGGCGCGGCAGACTATTTCCTGCACACTTGCAGTCCGACAAGGCCCTGGTCGGTCAGACCATGGGACTGAAGCGGATATAGGGGAGAACAGTGAAGGAAATGGGATGGCATGCCAGGCGTACCCAGCGCACCGCTGACTCAAGATGCAGTGAGCCGGGAGGAATTCGGCGCGGGGCGGTTGCAGGAGAGGCAAGGCGGGCGAGGCGCACCCAGGGAAGTGGGAAATGGAGTCCATCGTGCACGACGCGCTCGAGGGAGAGGGGAAACGAGACAGTGTGTGCTGTGTCAAGGGTACTCTTCGAGAGGAGACTGACTTGAGATAAGCTTATTGGGGGACATTCGGCAGCTGGACGACCAGGGAGAACAGGGACTGCAACGCGCGAGCTGTGACCACAGGAAATGCAGTGAACGTGTGTGTCGGAACAGCGGACCAGGAGTCCGCAGCAGAGATGGTGTTGGATCATGCCTGCTCGCGTGAGGAAGCAGGCTGAGGTCATGGCGTGTGTGGGAGCTGCAGTGAGATGGATCCTTTCCCCCC